TTGGATCTCCTTCCAAAAGGTGTCCCAAAGTCAGTAACTTTGTTAGCTTAAAAGATGCACAGATCCTATTATTTCAACACATTTTAGAGCAGATTTGACAGATATGACAACAGCATTATTGTAATTAATACTGTAGGCTTATTAATAAGCGTGCTGCATTACTTTGTATTGTTCAGATGCATCACAAGTAATCTTTTAATAATCTCTACAATAACCAAATAATTGCAGTGATCATAGTGTGGTGTGAATAAGGTTCAACTGTGATTACTAAATTGCCAAAAAGTAGGGCTGCTAGGGGATTCTGCCTCACAGATCATACTCTTAACCAGAAACTAAGGCAGCAATTTTATATCAGCCTTCCCCCAATACATTATTTGTTTATCTAGTTATTGAAAGCATGTATGCCTTGTTTCTAGAACAGTTAAAATTAAAATCAGACTGTTCATGTCCATAGGCTTAAAATTTAGAAAGGAAGGGAAAGACAGAGGAGTGAGACAAGAAAAATACTAGCTCTTAATACTTTAATATTTTACTTTATTTTATTATGTGTTTATCCATTCACGTAGGATTTTTAAAAATTGCTTTCTATTTTTTACTGTAAGCTACCCAGTTATTCTTGAGTCAGGTGACTTCTAAATCTCATAAAATAAAATAAAATTTAAGGGCCAGATTAGATGGAAATGGCCTTCTTAGGGAGACTAAGATGATTTTCACCCACAGAAGAAATGGGCCTGTTGTTCTTCATCCGGTGATTGTGATGGCCTCTGTGACAGGGGATGAGGTGCCTGGCCAGCTGATAATAGCAGAGATGGCAGTTACTTGCTGTCTGCTTTAACCAGGATGGCCAATAGGCATTTGGGGTGCCACAATGCAGGGCGCCAACCTATTTCTGAGATCTATGCAGAGGATGGTGCTAGAAGCCCACAGCCTTAAGAGGAGCAGGCTAGTCTGACATGCTCAGCAACCAGATCCACACAAATAAGGCACAAAAATATTGGGATTTTCCCTTCCTTCCCCTATCCTCCCTTCTGATTTTGTAGCCTGTGTCCCAGGATGTCAAATCCTACATGCCTTTTAGCGACAAAGGTGAAGCTATTAATTTTAAAACAAATTTTCAAAATGCTTCCCAACATTATTCAAAGTGGGATTTTTTTTTTTTTTTTGAAAAAGAGAATAAACATTCATGCGCAGACAGATAAGCCCAAATGGCCTTGCTGGTGTACACAGGCAAACCATGTCTCTTTTGCTTTAAAACTTTTAAAGTTCCCCATTAAAGCAGAAGAATAACTAAGGGCAGTGAAAAGGCAGCAGATGGTTGCTTCTGCTGGTGAGTTGCAAGCTGATATACATCTGCACATACCTGAATCCGTGGGTAGATAAAATACTAATCCAGTCAAGAATGAGAAGAGAAGGCAAGGAATAATGACGCTGACAATGAAGTAGAGAGGCAAACGCAGCAGTACAAAATGATAGGTAACATCAAGATACGTTTTAGGGCAACATTTGTACTTCACCGCGTGCTTCCAACCTTGGTAATCTTTCATTGCCCATTCCCCACTCGGCATGTAGTTATTCAAGTCTGGATAGTTGGTTTCCTGAAAAGGCAAGTGCTTCCTTCTAATGAATGAAATAACTGTGTCTTGATTCCATCTGATATTCAATACTAAATACTGTAAACTGATATTTAGTGCTTAGCCTGAGTTTGACCTCCCTTGGAAGAACTTCATGGCAGGCTTAGGACATTTCTGTCATATTTATGTCTGTGTATAAATGGATAGGTTAAAGGCCCCTAGCTTTAAAAATTGGAGCAAATCGAGTCTACTTTTCCTTCCTTAGCTCTCAAGAAAGGCAGCCAGAGGTTTTCTGTATGGATGTAAACAAATTTTAACATGAATTCTTCTGAGAGGGGATTTGGTGGTTTCAGGAATCCATGATGGAATTAAATTAGGGAAATTTAATTTAGGAAAGCCTAACCAGGGTTGTCCTTCTCCAAACCCAAACCAAACTCAATCCACACTCCATTAAAAAAGTATTTGGAAGGGGCTGGGTTTGCATATGCTTTTTTTAAAGAAGTGTATAAGATAGCTATGGGAGGTCACCTGGTTACACCAGGCAGTCCTTGAGAAGGGAAGAAGCCGTGCTTCAGAGAATTCAGACTCTACATAAAGGTGCCAAGCTTTTGAAGACTAAATAGTCCTTGCCAATCTTTTACATTTAAAAAAATAGTATGGCATAGGTCTCTTTGGGGTTCTTTTAAAATCCGAAAAAAACCTGCCAGATCAAAAAACTGCAGGAGAATGAAATTTAGGGATCTGCCCATCTGTAAGCTTATAGTATCTGGATTTGTTCTCTGTTTCTCAGCATTTTTCTACAGCTGCATTTTCTTTTCACACATAGATTATAACATCCTTATCTGGGAGAGGTGGAGTCTTCTTTTTGCTTTCTTTTAGGCATTTCCTAGCCATCAATTAAACATCAGGAAAGTGGTCTGAAATGGCTTTGCTCAAAATTTCAAACAGATAAGCTACATCCCCCCCCCCAGTCCCTCTACACAGTACTTAACTGAAGAAGGAAGGAAGGAAGGAGTCCCCCTATCTAAATAACTCCCTAGACATCTCAAATCATATGATTGTACCATGGCACTATGAAGCTAATGGCTGTCAGCCAGATCACTTCTGGTTAATAGCCCAGAATGGTTACCTAGGAATCTTTCTGTGTTTGAATGGAGGGCCTGGTTCAGCTTTTTGGGTTGAGGATCTTGGGTGAGGGGTACTAAGGATGCTTTTTGTTAATACCATCTTCTTACCATTGTGGCTGCTCATTCATTTGCTTTCATCTTTTGGGCCCAGTTCATGCCACAGCCTCAAAGGAGAAGGCAAGGCAACTTATCCTTCTCCTTCATATAGGACCATTGCACATTTCTTTGAGGAGGGCAGGCCAACAGGCAGCAACAGATGGCAACAGCACAGGCTGGAGATATGGGTTGGGAAAGGGCACCTGTTTGGGACATAGCAGATGCCTTAACCATACCCAAGTCTGATTTCCTTCCTTATTTGGATACAGCATGCAGCAAAGCTTGGAGACAATTGCATTCTTCTGAGCTAAAGAAAAGGTGGGTGTGTGAGGGGTGGGAATGTAGACAAGGGCATGGGGTGGGGTGGGGTGTGGAGCTGAAATTACAATGATTTCCTTTGTTGTGGATGACCTCTGGTGAGACTAGAATAGGGGGAGTGTGTCCTTCTTAGTGTTGCTTGATCTCTCAGTGACCTTCAATGCCATTTCCTTTGTTGTGGGGTGTAATGGGGTTTAACACTCTCTCCACTTCTATTTAACACCAACACAAGCCACTATTACCTGTCACAGGATCAAGTGTCATCAGTATGCAGATGATATTCATCTTTCCATCTTGACCCTGGGCCTGACAGATTATGTTTTTAAGATGGCATCCCAGAGCCTGGAGGAATAATAGGCTTAGACTCACTCCCAGCCAGCCAGGCTGGCTTTGGATTCAGAAGTCATCTGATTCCAAGGAGATTCTATCTTTAGTTCTGCACAGCGCTTCATTCCTCCATATTCAACTGGCTTGTGATCTGGGGGTCCTGTTTGATTCACAGTTCCTACTTGAGAAGCAGGTTACAGCTGTGGCTAGGAGGATCTATCTTGTGTATGTTTACAAACTCTCCTGGAGTAGGAGGCTCTCCATATAATCAATCATGACTTTTTTTGATTGATCAATTATGTGCCATCAAGTTGTTTTCGACTCCTAGTGACCACATAGATTTTCTCCATGAAATCATGACTTAGTCACATGGATTATTGCAACATGCTTTACATGGAGCTGGCCTTGAGGACCACTTGGATGCTACAGCTGGTCCAAAATGTAGCAGCTTGATTAGTTACAAGCATATCTCACTTTGCCCATATAACACCAGTATTTTGAGAGCTATACTGGCTCCCCACTGGATTCTGGGTGGAATTCAAGGTGGTGATTGTCGTCTTTAAAGTCCTATATGGCATAGGATCTGGGTAGCTTTGGACCTGCCTACTTCCAATTATATCTGCCTGTCCAGGGAGATCTGAAAGAATGGGCTCCTTCTATATCCCTTCTTTCAGGAAGGATCATCAACAGGGACCACTGCAGAGGTGGGCCTTCTCAGTTGCCGTCCCCCTTCTGTGGAAGATCATTCCCTCAAATAGCCAAATGGCCCCAACCCACTGGAATTCAGGAAAGTCCTGAAAATCTACTGTTCCAAGAGACCTTGGAAGCTGAGAAGTTTTAATGGCGTTCTTCCCCTGTGTATAAATATAATATAGGTGTTATCATATTTTAGTTCTTGCTTTTTATTTTATTATTGTTACTGTTTTAACCTGATTTAGGGATGTCAGATATGTAGAGTCAAAAATGACCGGAAAAGCATATAAGCCCAGTAAAATAAAATAAATTGAATTCATATGTTAAATATAGAAATTTTAAAATAAAGCATATATACCAAACACAATCTCTCTTCCTCTTTCTCAGTTTCTCTTCCCAAGCCATTTAAACAAATGAAACAGCTTGTTTTAGACATCCAAATCAGATTCCAGATGTGTGGATATATTTCCTGCATCCAGTGGAGCTGGCTTTGTGTTTCTGGATCAGCAGCTCCCCTCCCTCAATACAACAATGCAAGGGCAGAAGCCATTAATGAGATTATTAGGATGGTACAATGATGAAAAAGAGATCCAAAAATAATGCAGCATACAAGTATGAGGATGGTTTCTACATAAGATTTTCACTTGCATATAATAATATGAAAATAACTAAATTTACCAGCTACCTAAGACAGCCAGTTTGGTCTAGTGGTTCAGGCACCAGGCTAGAAGCCAGGAGACCATGACTTCCAGTCCTGCCTTGGGCACAAAGCCAGCTGGGGGACCTTGGGCCACTCGCCCTCTCTCAGCCCTAGGAAGGAGCAGGCAAGGGCAAACCACAAGGGCAAAACCTTGCCAAGAAAACTGCAAGGACTAGCCCAGGCCGTCGCCAGGAGTCAC